TTTCCCAAGACCTTTGACTCTTAAGCTCTCCCCTCTCCCCCTCCCCTCCATGGCACGTGACTAACCTCTACCCCCACCTGTTACATTGCCAGGGAACGAACGACAAGGAACTTGATCCTCACTTGGTGGAAAACGAGGGCGAGGGGAGGGCTGCCGGTCCCTTGCGCCACCAAGAAGGAAAGGCACCAGACTGTTGTGGGCATCTAAGAAAGCGGAAAGGAGTGATGTTTTTTGTAACGAGGTCAGTTTGACTCAACCATTTTCCCCGACTGCATGACTAAGGTAAAGGCATGGTTTGCTTGAGGGAAGGGAAAGACAACTAAGGAATCAACAACGGCAAAGGAGACTTAGGTTTGTGGGAAGAGGCGATGTGTTGACCCCAATGGGGATTGTACTTGGTCCTTCGCTTTGTGTGGTCTTGCGCAGGTGAGTAGCTTGGGATGAACAGCCCGAGACAAGATCTGCAGACGAGGGCAAGGGTGGGAAACTGGATAAGGGGGAGGACTTAGACCCCGCTCAAACTATGAATGCAGGATGGGTTTGATGGTCGGATGCTTGTATGAGTGGTAGACGCTTGGATGTGGCTTGTGTGATGATTGAGTGCAATGGTTCACTTGAATGCAATGCAAGCCCGGAAGGACTAAGGGCAGTCTTGGATAGGTGAGTGCAATGCTAGTGGCTCAAGCAAAAAAAAAATATAGCGGCTAGGGGTCCGGGCGATGCCACCCCATCCCAAGGATGCCGTAAAGGCTGTCTTGAGCCACTAGACTTAGTGAAAAGGGGTGTGGCCCAATGGATGACACTTGGCCTACACACGAAAGAAGACGAGTTTCCAATAAACTCCCTGGACTGCCTGCGTATTGGAAGGAGCAATTACCTGGTCAGACTTAATTGAATCGAGAAAATGCCACGAGTGACCAAAGAGCTACCATCTATCGTGAGAGTGGAGCTACATCCCCCAACGTAAAGCCCTCTTGCAAATGGCCCATCCTCATCCATCTCATAGCATTAGGTGGGGGTGCCCCTGGGACGAACGACCCGCGCCCTGAGCGTGAGCGCGGGCGGGTCGAGGCAAATGGGACCCGCAGTGGGGTCGACTAAGGCTCGAAAGTCCTTCAGGGTAAGGCCCCTACACTGCATTGCAACGTGCTCATGGCACAATTGCGGGATTACTTGCACACTGCAGTACCGACTCCATTGATGGACGCCGGAGTAGAGGTTGTCGATCTTCATGACTACATTGCGAAGATCGACCGCGAGTTCAAGACACAATGGTACGACGACACCGACGCGCCATTGTTGTACATACGCATTCAGATCGGAGAGGCGGCGTGCAACACTTTGATCGATTGCAGAGCTACTCGTAACTACATGAGCCAAGACTTTATGGTACGCGCTGGCCTTGGGCCACATGTTCGGAGGAAGTCGCAGCCCACGCAAGTCACGTTGGCCGACGTTCACACGCACAAGTCAATCGACCGGTGCATTGATGTCGTCCCCGTGTACCTTGCCCCGCATGCAAGCGAGGCCGTGTCCTTCGATATTTTGGACACCAAGTTCGACATGATCTTGGGTATGTCATGGCTGCGAAGTGAGGATCACCCAGTGAACTTCTACCGCCGCACCGTTCACGTTCTCGATCGGAACGGAGTACTAGTCCCATGCACGGTGCCTCCTCCTCACCCTTCGATCAGATGCCACGTAGTGTCCGCCGCAAGCATTCGAGCTTCCATCATCCGGGATGACATCGAGGAGATGTGGGTGTGTTTTCTCCACGCCCTCCCGCCCCAAGACATTCCATCGACGGACTCACCATTGGACCCTCGCATCACCGAGCTTCTCGATGCCTACGGCGACGTGTTCGAAACACCGCACGGAGTTGTACCGGATCGGCCCATCCACCACGAGATTATCCTCGAGGATGGGGCCGTACGGGGTCGTACCTCCGCGTGGTTGCATCTACCGCATGAGCGAGCAAGAGTCAAGTGTGCTAAGGGCACAACTCGACGATCTTCTCGATAAAGGTTGGATTCGGCCTAGCTCTTCGCCATACGGTACTCCCATTCTCTTCGTCCGAAAGAAGAACAAGGAATTGTGTTTGTGCATCGATTATCGCAAGCTCAACACGCAAACCGTCAAGAAGGCTGACCCGCTTCCGCGCATTGACGACCTCCTCGAACGACTGGGCGGCGCCAAGTTCTTCTCCAAGCTTGACCTCAAATCGGGATATCACCAACTCGAGATCCGGCAGGAGGACCGCTACAAGACCACGTTTAAGATGTGATATGGGCATTTCGAATGGCTGGTTATGCCTTTTGGCCTGCCCCAGCCACATTCCAAGCGGCTATGACTATGGAGTTCCGACACATGTTGTATAGAGTCGTACTCATTTACCTCGACGACATCTTGGTGTACAGTCGGAGTTTGGACGAGCATGTGGAGCACCTGCGCACCGTTTTGGAGCAGCTATGACAAGCCAAGTACAAAGCCAACCGCGACAAATGCGAATTCGCGCGGCAAGAGCTCGAGTATTTGGGACATTATGTGACGCCGCAATGCATCCGTCCGCTTGCGGACAAGATCGAGGCCATCCTCGTATGGCCTGAGCCCACCAACACCACGGACGTTCGTTCATTCATGGGGTTGGCAGGCTACTATCAACGCTTCATCACTGGGTACTCAAGGATTACAGCACCTATGACGAGATTACAATCGCCAAAGGTGCCATTTGTATTCGATAACGACGCACGCCGGTCATTCCAAGCACTCAAGACGACCATGCTCATGGCACCCGTCCTTAGCATCTACGACCCCAACCTGCCAACGAGAGTGACAACCGACGCTTCCGGATATGGCATTGGGGCAGTCTTGGAACAACACGGCGACGGCGACGGACACCCCATGCAGTATTTCAGCCACAAAGTGTCTCCCATCAATTTACTTGATGATGCAAGGAAGAAGGAGATGCTCGCGTTCGTGATGACTCTCAAGCGATGGCGGCACTTCCTCCTTGGGCGTCGTAGGTTCACATGGGTCACGGACAACAACCCATTGACCTACTACAAGACGCAGGATACAGTGAGCAGCACGATCAGACGATGAATGTACTTCATCGACCAATTCGATTTCACACCGAAACATCTCCCCGGCCTCTCCAATCGCGCAGCAGATGCACTCTCGCGAAAACCCGATCTTTGCGCTATGACACATCATGCCTTCGCATTCGACGAGGAACTCCAACGACACTTCAACTGGGGCTATGAGTTTGATCCAGATTTCGCCACGTTGTATGCGCAACTATCTTCGGATCACCCGCCGGCCAGCCACTGCCGGATCTTCAAGGAGTACTTGCTCCTCCACTCGAGAGGCAAGGACTTATTGTGTGTCCCACGAGACCGTCATCTTCGGACTCGCTTTCTCGGGGAGTACCATGACTCGCGACTCGCCGACCATTTCGGAGTCAATCGCACTATTGCACGACCTCGGCAACGATTCCGATGGCCCGACCTCATTACCGATGTCACTCGGCATTGCGACTCTTGCGAAGTTTGTCGACGAAGCAAGCCCCGCAGCCACAATCCCTACGGCGAGTTGCGCCCGGTGCCTATCCCACAGGAACCCGGCCTCTCCATTGCCATGGACGTCACCGGTCCGTTCCCTCGTGACCGGCTCGGGCACGACGACATCCTCACGGTCGTTGACCGTTTGAGTAAGTATGCGCGATTTCTTCCTTGCAAGTACTACCCCACGGCTCCCGAACTTGCGTGCCTCCTACACACCAGCTGGATTTGCAGCCATGGCGTGCCGGAAGACATCGTCAGTGGAAGCGACACACGCTTCATGTCGGCATTTTGGACTTCTCTCATGCAGGAATCCGACACGAAGATGAAACCAAGTTCGGCTCGGCATCCACAAACGGACGGGCAAACGGAGCGGGCACACCAAACCGCTCAAATGATGCTTTGTACGCTCATCCGTCCGGATCAGAAAGATTGGGTTGACCGCCTCCCCGACATCGAGTTCGCCTACAACACTTCGTTGCATCCGGCGATCGGCGTAACTCCATTCGAGTTGCACCACAGTGGCCGGAAAGGCCGTATCTTCGCTGATCTTCTCCTCCCATGAACAGCCGACATAAACGCTGCTTGCTCCCCCGCTTCCGTGCGGAAATACAGGGAATTGCTGGCTCAAGCCCGCGCAAACATGCAAAAGGCTCAAGTCTGCATGCAGGAGCAAGCCAACAGGCATCACGTGCCATGTCCCATCCGCGCCGGTGATCTGGTGTGGGTCTCCGTGGAAGAGTTTGCACTCGAGCAGGATGTTTCACACAAACTGCTTCCCAAGTGGTTTGGACCATGGCCCGTAACATCAGCCGCGGGCGATGAGCCAGATGGCCCCTCATTTGTGATCAACATCCCCCCGCATCTGACGGTCCATCCAGTCTTTCACGCCTCGAAGCTGGCAACATATACACCAGCTAAGAGCGACGACTTCCCGGGCTAACAATCGCAGGACCCTCCATCTATGGATGGTCATCAGGAAGTTGACCGCGTCATGGTATGGCAGCAAGCCTCGACAGTACAAAGTTACGTTCAAAGCATGCGATCCTGACGACACTCGGTGGATTTCAGGAACAGATTTGAAAGCATCCGCACCGCTGATCTACGCTCACTACGAGCGACAAAGGTTAGCTCAGGGAACTTCACGACCTGCCCCTCCCACCCGGACTGTGGTCCCTCCCTCAGACAGACAGCTTCGCCCTCGCAGGTAAGCTCGGTCTTTCAAGGAGGGGGGGGTGTGGCATACTGCGCAGCCACACGAGCCTGCAGGGCCCGTCCCGCGGTCTCAGCCTAAAAGCCTAAAAACAAGGGCTTACAGGCCCCGCGTCTGTTTCAGCCTGACAGCCTGAAAACCAGGGCCTACAGGCCCAGTGTCTGTTTCAGCTTGACAGCCTGAAAACTAGGGCCTACACGCCCCGTATCTGTTTCAGCCTGAGAGCCTGAAAACCAGGGCCTACAGGCCCCGTGTCCGTTTCAGCCTGACAACCTGAAAACCAGGGCCTACAGGCCCCGTGTCGTTTCAGCCTGACAGCCTGAAAGCAAGGGCCTATAGGCCCTCAGGCCTTAGCCAGAAGCTACCTGGAAACTTCCCGGAAGCTTCCTCAGGGTCTAGCACGTTTGGGCATTGGCAAGAGCAGCCTCCTTGACGGGCCAGCACTATATAAGACTGGCCCGCCCTACAGGCAGGGAGTTGATAGGGGCTGGCCAGGCACTTCACGTGCAGTCCAGGCAGAAGGCAGGAGGCCGTCTTCAGGATTCGGCAGCAGCACTCTGGAGGAGCGCTGCAGGAGTAGCGTTAGCGCTAGCAGTAGTCTTCAGCGTCGGGCGCTAGTAGCTGCAGGAGTAGTCTTCAGTGCAGGGCGCTAGTAGTAGTAGTAGAAGTGTTGGAGAGAGATGGCTGGCGGAGGCCAGCGAGACTTACCTGTGGCGCCATAGCTCCAGCTCCATCTTCGAGGTTCCTGCATCAAGGCGCCAGCTTCACAGGTTAGTACCGGACAGAGAGAGAGAGAGAGTTCTTCTTCTTCCTCTTCTAAGTCCACCATCTCTTCTTCACCCTCTCACTACCTGACTTCTCA